TGGTTCGACTTTTAATATTGAGGATTTAGTAGAGTACAAAGGCCCACATTTTAACCCTGACAACCCACTGGTTGATGAGCCTACCCCTGAGCCTATTTCTGAGAGCTCCCCTTTACCTCCACTTCCCCAGATATCACCCACATATACAGCACATGACATTGAAAATATTATTGATGATAACATTGTTTCTACTAGCAATGGTGGTATCCGCAGGTACTTGGTACGTTGGAAAGGACGACCTGAGTCCGATGATACTTGGCTCGATAGGGATGACTTGCAGAGACTGGATCCAGATCTTCTTGAGCAGTATGACAGCCGTTCTGATTTACACTCGACAGGGTCGAGTTCTCTCCCACCCGGGGAGAATGATGGGGACATCCGGACACATACACGGGATTTTCGCCGAGTTTATCAGCGAAGGAGACGCCAGGTTGCAGCACTATGGTTTTGATTTCAATTGTAATAAATTAGTTTGAAATTTGAATTTTTGAATTTCAAAATTTTGAATTTTGAATTTCATTTGGCAGCTAATTAGTTAAGTGGTTGTATTTTGGTTATGAGAGAGATTTGAGGGATTTAGAGGATTTTCCAAATCTGTATTTTTTCTTTATTTAAACTCTCTTGTTTCAGAGATTGATATTGATAGATTGGAAATGAAACTTGATTTTGCTCAATTGCAGGTGCTGAAACCCTAGCAAGTTCATTTTCGTTTCTTCTACAGCCACAAAAAAAGAAAAAAAAAATCAAAATTCGCACTGTTCATCATCTTTCTTCCTCCATACAATCAGAACAAATCGCACCCAATCCAACAAGCCCTCCCCTTTACAACGCCAACAAAACCGCACGTCGACAGTACCCCACCGGACCTCCGCCCCTCCTCCTTCGACTCAAGCAACCACAACCACTCCACAACCGCCGCCAACATCGGAACTCAATCCCCTACCTCCGGCAACGTCCCAGCACCGCCAGCCGCCACCCTTTTACCTCTGCTGCTGACCGCCTCCACGTCTCCCGACCCGCTTCGTGAACACCGCCCGCCCTCCGACCCTACCGTCCCGGATTCCCCGACCGAGCGCCCTCCATCCAGATCCGCCTCGAACGCCGCCCACTCCAACCCGAGCGCCGCCGTCCCGACTCGAACGCCACAGCCCCGACCCGAGCGCCGCCTAAGTCGACACCGCCACTCTGGCCCGTGTCGTTCCTTCAGATTGAGATCCTGTTGAAAGAAAAGTGTGGATCTGTGTGACTTAATCAGAGATCCCTAGTCATTTACCCGATCCAGTCAAGTGTGGACCAGACCCACTTGATCCAATCCGAAGTTGTTGAAGTTAGTTGAGTCAGATTCAACCCACTTGATCCTTGACTTTGCAATTGATGGTGTATGGCAGATCCTGACGCTGAAGACGGACTCGTGCTAGATCCAGAGACCGGCATCGTTGATTTACTGGTGTCCCCGTGGTTTGATTATCAATCGTTCGAGAGCGTGCCCGAGTACGTCGAACGCGTGACTCACCAGATTGTCGGTAGTGTGGAAACCCAGTTAGGCATCAGTTCGTTTCATAGGCGTTTCAGTCCAGACGCGCCACTTCATCCCAATTACGTGGCTCTCGTAGGAGAACTTCCTCCCCTCATTTTTGGCGTGTACGAACCACCTCCAGAGGAGCCTCCCGTCGAACCAGCTCAGCCCGACGAAGGTTTAACTTTCTTTCACCCAAATATTTTCGAAACTGCTATTGCTTGCATGTTACTATCAATATTATTATCGATTGTACTTGTGCTGTATTCAGCTTGATTAAGTGACCGAGCGAATCTGTTGCTAAGTATTTTTACTTATCTAAATATTACAATTTGAACTGTATTGAGAGAACGAATCATTACATTTATTTTCTGGATCATTTACAAAAGATTTGAACTTAGTACATTGCAACTTTGCTTAAAATCCATCGAAAGCTACACTTTATTCTTGAGCTTCCTGCCTAGATCGATCGCTGATTTGGCGAAGCATTGTTGTCGTTAATCTTCATACCTGCATCACATTGTTTCGCATCATTCTCTATATATGAAATTGATTGTAATAGATTTTGTTGGTTAAGATTTTTTATATGAAATTGATTGTAATAGACTTTGTGACTAGAAATGGATTATACTTTATATTAGGAATATCATGACATTTACTTTAGATTTGTTTTGGTTCTTTCATTGATCTTTCTTTCTGGAAATATTATGTGTGAGAAATGTTGTTCTTTAATTAGCGGAATTATGGTTGTGCTTCTGCTTATTAATATTTACAAACTCGATGTTGATGGCCACTCAAGTTTTTGTGTTAGGAAATTGCCAATTTTTTTAAATACATGTTTATTAACCTGTTACTTCCTAAGATATAAATGATACTAATTTTGAATAATTATGCTTGCATTGCATCATTGTCTAGAGCTTACTCGGAATCATCTTTCTTCACCTGAGGTTATGAATAACTTGCAAGTCCAAGACCATGTAAGATTATATGCAAATTTAGAGTCATCGTAAATTTGACTAAATTTTCTTAGTTAAGATTGTGCAAACATTTATATGCAAATTTAGAGTCATCGTAAATTTGACTAAATTTTCTTAGTTAAGATTGTGCAAACATGTTCTGTAACTTGTAAATTTTTTGAAAATATGATAGAATCATAATTTAATTTAATTATTTTTTGTAAATTATTTAACATCTGAATCTAATTTCAAAAAGTATGAATTAAAATTATGTTGTGATAATTTTCTTCCTCTTTTCTCATAAAGGTAATCAAACAAGAGAAAATGACTTTCTTATGAATTTTCTTCTAACTTTCCTTACAATATTCTTTCTAACCAAACAATAAAAAGAATATCATTTTCTTTTCTTTTTCTTTTCCTTTCTTTTTACTTTCTCTTTCTTTTTCTTTTCTCTCCCTTTCTCTCAAACCAAACATAGCATAAATGATTCTTTTACCTTCATACATTTTATGCATAAACCTACAACTACAATGGTGAAGTCTCTGTGGGGTCCTCATGGAATAAGAGGAGCAGCAACTACAGAGAACAACTCATTTTAAGTTCTTAAATTTAATCAGGTGGGTGTGATCACATCTCCTCTACCCCAGATCTGTTTTCCTTTGCTTTTGCTACTCTCCAGTGAAGAAACCTGAACGAAAAATCCCGAAGCATTTTCTCTGATACTTTCTTTTTCTTTTTGCCTCTCCTTCGATCCAAACAGTGGAAACAAGTTTCTCTCCCGCTTTCTTTTCTTTTCTTCCATTTTCATTCAAACCAAACAGACCCTTAATAATATAGTGTAAGCAGAGGCTGTAATGATGCGCTTTCTAAGAATTACCAGATCCCCCCCCCCCCCCCCCCCCCCCCTGATGATTCTCATCAATTGCATAGTTATATTGCATAGTTACAAGAATGTGGTTAAACTAAGCAGCAGTTCACGAATTAATAAACCAGTAAGAAATCAGCAACACAGCTACTTACAATGCATCATGTCTTATATGCCTCCATGAATGAATGTCAGGCAATCTTGTAAAAACATCAAATACCTTTCATTCTGCAATTGATGCAAATTAGTTATCGAGACTAAACATAAGGAAATAGGAAACAAATGTTGAACAGACCGATAGAAATAAAAGAGATGAGCAAAATCTCACTGGAAACCTGAAATGCCCATCTGAAAGACAGCATGTTCTCTCTTCTTTCTCTCTTTTGCTTTCTCAACTTCATACTTCTGGTTTCAAGTCTTCTCCCGATAATGAATCTGCTACTCTTCATCACTCGCTTATCCAAAACATGTCAAAACCAAAATGACATCCTGATTTGCTCCATAATCTCATAGACCACTAGCGCAATCGGCTCAAATCAGGCCTTTCAAGCCTCAAGTATTCAGCGATTTGGTAATTCTCCTGTGGCTTCCAAGAATTCGTAGTTAGGTCGGTCAATCAGCATGGGAGCATGCCATTTCTTTGTAAACTGATTACTCTTGTGGTCTTACCATCACACAACCATGTGCTGCTTCAGCACTTGCGGTTATCCAATTTTATGGCGCCTCAAATTCTCCATCCTCTTCATCATCCCAATCAATTCAGGTTTGGTTAGCCTCAGGATCAATCAATTACCTCAGGCCTCATCATCCAACAACCCTTCAGGCTTTAACAGCCTCTTCATCTTCAATCTCCATGGCGAGCATCTCATCCAATCGTCAGTGTTTAACAGCATCAGGGTCCAGAATCTTGGCCCTCTCATCCCAGTCCTCAGGCTCTTGTCCTCGGGATCCAGGAATGGTCTTTGGTGGAATAACAGCTAGGCTCAAAATCAATCACCAGACAAGAAATTTGCCTTCTTTTTATTTTCGCATCGGACCAGAATGCCGCAGCTCATTATCAGATTCAAGAAATTGCGGTGTATACATGAGAAAGCGTTATCAGAATGGAAACAGACGTGCCGGATACTTGAGATGATGCTCAAACAAACTTTTCCGTCTTGGATTCTGCTGCCCTTAAGATGAAATGGACCTTGTTGGTGGATCCACACCTGTTCAGGACCAAACATGATAGATGATAGTATAGGCGAGCTCATTGTCAAACTCCTTGGGATCCACCCAGGCCTCCTGAGGTCGCGAAGATAATTTAATATATGCCCCGCCACTCTCCAAGTCCAGGTTTGAAGCCTTGCTTCTCATATTGCAGAACAATTGGTCCTGTCCTGGAGATTAACTTGGTTCCAAGCTCCCTAACAATGCGGATTTCCTCGCCTTTTCCTCACAAGAAGGCCCATAATCATCATGTCCTCAACTCTTTGAATGCTTCCATATACCTGCAGACGACTATTCATGCAAATTCAAAAATAATGACCATTGAATACTGGA